GTAGAGCACTTCTGGTATGTCTCGAGTAACGTTAAGTATTGTATTTGAATACTTGTTAATAGGTTTGTCTGTATAATGCCTTTGATGGAAAATATAAATCAATAATGAAAAATATTCCTGTTTGCTAAGGTGCCAACTTATAGGTTGTAATCTAGAAGGCAGAATTTTGGTTGGCGAAAAAGTTGTAACTATCTGTATTAACATGCTAAGGAGCACTTTTTAAAGGCATTACTAAACATTCTCAGCTTTACTTTATTGATTTCGATATGGATTACGAAATCCATATCCATATTTATACAAGTAAAAATAGTTGTGTCATATCAAACATAGGTTTTGGAGATACATAATAATTCACCAGTGTCAATTTAAAAATTGGTAAAGTTAGGCAAACATTGTTCGTGCTGCATCTGATAGACAACTCTGATGGTGACATTGAAGGAGATCGGAAAGGGGAGAAGAAAACTTTGAAGTTTAACCATGCTTTATCCATCCTACAGAATATTGATGATTATGTTTCGTGACTGAACGGTTGAAAAGGGCGTTGGGATTGAGTTCGGTATGCAAGGGATTGTTTTCCAATAGTGTTGCTACAACGATGACTAGCGACAACTCAGTCGCTATCTGATACCAGGAGGAATCGATGGAGGCTCGATAGAGAACAATGTCAACAGTAAAGAGCTGACATAATAGGGCTGCAGGGAATGAGGCTCTAACGGTGTCTTGTTGAAGATGTCAGGAGTCAATGGCTAACCCCCCGTGTCTCTGTGCCTAGAATCACCTGTAGCCTACAGTCTGCAAGGCAACCAAAAATTAAATATGGTAGAAATGTTTTAAGTATTGTTCTTTATCTCTTCGTTTTTCTATTCACAGCTGTCACTGAAGATGGAGAACAGAAATGTACTGAAAAATTGTGATAAGAGCATTGCACAGGGAAGGATAGTAACCAACAAGCAGTATATCTCTCCGATCTTGATAAAGTCTCTTAATTCAAGAATGATCACTCACCCAACCCCTTTTTAAACATCTTCGATCGGGCACGTCAGCCACAGCTATTTCATTAATAGGTCTGTTGTTATGTCCGTGCAGTTTCATATGGAAACGGGAATAAAGGGTACGATTGCCAGTTGTTGTAAGTAGAAGATTTTTTTTTTATGTATCTGGGAGCGTCTGCAATAGGTCTTAAAATTTTATATTAAAAAGATTATTCATTTTGTATGCGTGTCTTTTTTGCTAAACCATAAATCTATGAGGCGTTTGTTTGCATGGATTTAATTAAGTTTGTATATGTATTTAATTTCTGTCTAATTTACAGTTTTGATCATTTTGAAAAAGAGAGTACAACAATTTCAGTCGCTTGTTTAAGGTGTATATTTTCATTCCAGAGTTCAAGATAGCACAGTTGTATTATGAAAAATTAAGAACATATCGTTGGTTTTATTGCAAAAAGTCAATAATTACATTATTCACAGTGCTAAATTCCTTGAGACTCTAATCGTCCCTAAACATTTAAGAACGTTTTAGTGAACTTCGACCATATTTATCGATACAAAATGTAATAAGTGAATCAAATCCTTTTATATATCAAATTTAGTTACATGAAGTATATAACTTTCTTTTATTTTAGTTGCTTAGCAATAAAAAATATTAATTAAAAAAAAAAAAAAAAGAAAAAAAGTATATAACTTTCTTTCTAATTTCATAAAGGGAAAATTCATCTAAGGATTTTTGTCAATAAAGATTGTTTTGTCAATAAAGATAAAATGGTATAATCTAGAATAAAAAAACAGATACATTAGTCATTCATACAATAAAACGTCCATGAGTACATTTTAAATAATTTAAAATTGTTACGATTGTAATTTCCAAAACTTGAAGTCTACCGACGGCATTACTCACAATTTTAATGAGTAGCCATTACTCATTTATTACACCAACCGCTCAGTTATTCTCGAATAGATAATTAATAGGTGCTCTGGATGTCGATTTCCTCTTTTTATTATGGGAGCTGAAGGGATGTTATGAAACTTTGGATCATAAATTATTCAGTTTAAAAAGTAGAACATTCGGTTGTACCTTGTATAAAGTGGATAAGAGCAAAACATCGCTATGAGTTGTACATGCACTGTATATTTATGCTGTTATGAGAGTTTTTTATTTTCATTAATCGGACATTGGGCTGTGAAGTTCCTCGTCGTAGTTTAGAAACTTTCTTCCGATCATAGCTTCTAGTTTAGATAACATAGGATCGGGTTGGCCGAGCGGGCTAAGGAGTTTGCAATACAAATGTTGCTTGGCAACCAGATATGATCAGGAGTTGAGGTTAGGTTTGGGATATCGAAGGCCCAATATCGATATTGTCATCGATATTAATATCGACTTATACTTATCGATATCATCAAAATATCGGATTTGAAATATTAATAGTCGATATTTTCGTCGATATTACAAACATTTTTGAATTATAAATATTGATTCTCTAGCACATAGGCACATCATAAAACATATTATTTTTTTCTTTAAATTAATTAATGGAAACATCAATTATTCTACCCTCTCCTAAGTAAAATTAATTTTCTAGTTCATATCGATCTTCGTCATCATCAGTTTTCCTCAGAAATCTCCATTCAAGCAATTATCCCTTCCATAGATCGGATTCAGCGAAATGCTTATTTATTAGCATCCTATGTAGATTTCTTTGAGAACTTGTGGCACTAGTTTGAGAAGGTTCTAACTAACAAATTTTAGCAAATTGAGTTTACTAATTGAGAAGGATTTCATCAATCCCAGGATGTCAGATTTTAGATAAATTTCTTCACCAGAGGTTTTCTGAAAAAAATATATATTAATCCATTTCACGATAAGTAGTAGCAGGTGTTTACGTATTTCCATGAGCAATAGTTTTATTTTTATTTTTAGCTTTCGATTCATAAATATTAAACTTAAAAGTTCTAAGTAAAAAATCAAGAAAATTCAAAGCTCAAAATTAAAATTATACAGCTGTGTTTAAGTAAAAGAAAATCCATGTTTTAAAATGACAGCCATCGTGTGGTAGATGTAGTTTCCTCTGCATTGGAGCGCGGAATGAACTGCACGGGAGTCTTTTCGACGTTGAACAGGCGTTTGATAGAGTCTGGCATCCAGGACTGATGTACAAACTCCGTAAATTCCTACCATCTACATACTTCCTCATTATCCGTTTCTACCTTACTGACAGATACTTCGAAGTAAATCATAACAATGCTTATTCATCTCTTTTTACTCAGTTTGCCGATGTTCCTCAAGGTAGTATCCTAGGTCTTATCTTTTACACAGTTTATACAGCTGACATCCCAAACCAATCCAACACTGTCATCACCACCTATGCCGATGACACGTGTATCCTATCAGTTAATAACGATCCATCTATTGCATCCCAAACTCTTCAATCACAAATTACAAGTCTTGAAAAATTGTGTAAAAACTGGAGGATTAAAATAAATCCCATACCCTTTACTCTTCGTCGTTAACCTATGACTTTCTGTCCTACAGCATCCTTCAACAATGGGCCACTTATCCCTGTTGAACAAATCCGATAGGACTCCACCTTAACAAACGACTCACTTGGAACCCCAAATCAGACTGAAACGACTTAAAACCGCCCGACGTTTTCGACTACTGCAGCACTTACTAGACAAACGCTCTAAACTTCTAATATATTTACAAAAGACTCATATACATGACTATAAGAAGGCCTATTTGGACTTGAGCTTTGTGGCTCTAGTAAACCATCAAATTCCTCTCGTATCCAATCCTTACAATCCAAAATCCTTCGTAAAATCCTCAATGCTCCCTACTTTGTCACAAATAAAATCATCCATAACGACCTGAATGTACCATATGTTTCCGATTTAGCTCAATCCAGATACCTATCCTTCTATGATAAACTTCTGAGCCATCCGAACCCTCTTGCTTCCTCTTTTATCACTGATATCCCTCCGAGGCGTCTGAAAAGAAGATTGCCTCGGTACTTTCTAATATAGAAATATAATTAGAGTGCTAACAATGGGTAGTTTCTCTTCATGTTGTACATGTCATGTTACTTGTTTCAAATTTACTTGTTGTATTTACCATTTATACAGTTGTAAATTTCAATAATAATAAAAAGAAAATGACTGATTTTAGATTTCCCAACGAAAGTTTACAAAGTTTATTAGTTCAGTTACAGTCCTATAATCAAAATTGTTTAGTTGTTTAAAGGAGTGTATTGGTTTAAGCAACTATAAAAAATGTACCAGTATCGAAAAGAATTTAAAGCCCATTTTATTTCATTTCGTCAGTTGATTCCTCTAAAAAAACCCTGCCTTCAGAGGCTAGTAAAATTTCATGGATAGATAACTGCTCTCCACATTATGCAAAGTTACCGGAAGATAAAAGGAAGTCTCCCAAAACGGGGAAAACAAACGTTTTTGGGTGTATGAAAACAATTTACTGGATCTCGTATAAGAGAAAACTCGGTGTAGAGTTGGAATAATTATAAGCCAGATTTCTTCTTCATAATCGTATTCTCTTCCATCTCTGAACAGTGCGAGGAGCCTTCTTGTAGAATCGAGTCCATATAACAATAATAACCCCCGAACCTGTACCAACTACCGCCTCCTTCTCCTCTTGTCCGTTTCTCTTCTATCAAAGGTCTCCTTGACACCTTCCTCCCAAGTCTTCCTGGGCCTTCCCCGAGGCCTCTTTCCATCAATGTTACTTTCTAATGCAATTCTGGCCACTCAGTCCTCTGGCATTCGAGGGACATGGCTAAACCACCTTAGGTGATCTTACACAGTCTCAGGTGATCTTACATTCATTGTTGTGGAGTTCTTTATGCGTTATCTATTTGAACAGGAATGATCTAAATCTTGTGCCAATTTTATTAATGTAAATTCATAAATAACATCATAGGAGAGATTTGAAATTATTCACGTAAATAATGTCTTGTTTATTTCCAGGCGCTGACTATATAACTGTCCGAGATGTCTGTTCGCTACGAGCGGTTAGAGGGAGCGCTGGCCGAACGATTGGATTCCCTCTTCGGGATTCCTGGCTGCCTGATAGAGGTGAACCCTGGCAAGGTCCTCTTGCCACCGAAGTACGTAGAACTGGGCCAGAGGATAAAGGACTTGGAGGTTCGGCCAGACGACGTTTGGGTCATTTCCTATCCTAGAACAGGTAAGAGTAAGTTTTTTGGAGTAAACGTGACGTCGTGGAACCCCGCAGGTTCAGGATATTATAAAAGTCGAAAAATCAGTCAGAAATCTAGGAAAAATCTGTTTAGGTTCAAGTACATAAAATGTGTCCATTATCAAAACTAGGAATCAGTCAAAACTATCTGTAATATAAGAAACTTCGAGGGAAAATGTGTGATGTCCGGTGTCCGACGAATGAATTAATTGTTTAAAAAGAAAATTAAATATCCAATTGAAATGATACAGTTCCTTACCATAGCTTAATTTAATTCATCAATAAGACTTTTTTAAGTAGAAAAAAGAGATTTACATGAGCAATGTTCTGTTCGTTGATTATAATGTGATAGATAAAACATCAGTTCAAGATAAAAGAAACAGGAATAATTATAACCGTTCTATTATAAATTATAAACAGTTCAAGATAAATTTCGGCCTGATTCACTTTCTAACCGGAGTCTTGTGAAAGAGTTTCTCCCAATATATCCTGATCTGGCCGACGTAAGAAAGCAGGAAGGTCGTCTGAAGAAAGTCGGACCTTGAGTAGGACTCTCACGGTAACTTTCACTATCCTTATGTAACTAAGGTCACTACGTTCGTATCCTACACGTTCGAAATGTCTGTAGAAAAAAAGAAAGTTACAAAAACAACTAAAAACTTATCGGTTAACAGGTCAATAGATAATCATGTCCGATATTTAAAAAAAAAATATAACATAACAACATTAAAGTACTGGTTAATAGTATAGTAATAGTTAATATAGTAATTGTATATATATTAAAGTACTTCATGGTGGTAAGCTAAGCCAGGGATGCCCAGAAGGAGGTTTTATGGCGCAAGTTTTTGACAGGTTTTTAAATTTTTGAGGGGAACACAATGAGAAGGGGTTATGAATTTTCAAAATGAAAAGTTCCAAATCAAAAGAGAAGTGGAATCATGGAACAGACCTCAGGATGTGTAATGGGATACTATCTATGAATATTCCAATTCTACTTTCATTTGTACTGTTTTTAAGAAGAATAGAGGAATAAAATATCTTAGGAGTGGTGGGAGAAAGTTTATGCACCATCAGCCTTTGGAAGATGGGCGCCCTTGAGCTAAGCATTTTGTGTTTCAGATAAAATATCAGAACTAAAGATGTGCATCAAAATGAATAAGTAAAAAAACAAACAAGTCTTTCACTTTCTAAAACTCTCCGCAGTGTAAAAATAACAATATTTGAATGATAAAATTATTGCTACAAACAAACAGATTTAAAAAACTACTGTGAATTAATAAAATATCATAACTGATATTCCGGCTTTAAAATAGTTGCAGAACCCATGGTATAGGGACCCACTAGCGGATCCAGGATTTAATTTTGGGGGGCTTCAGCCCGAAATATTTTTTTTTCAACTATAATTAATTTAAAAAAAAAGAAAGAAATTAATTACCTATATGAAATGGTGTTAACGTGGTTCTTGAAGTCCTATTAAATGTAATTACATGAACAAGAATACTTTAAGAGATAGTTTTTAATATTTTTTTCTGTAAAACATAGTTATATTTTACCATTTTGGGGGGACTTCTGCCCGAAAGCCCTCCCCTCCCCCCGTAGATCCACCTGTGCAGGGACCTAGGATTCATGGGACCTAGTAAATATAGTAGGATTGTATAATTAAATTGAAACATAGAAAATAATCAGGTATATAATATAAACAAATTTTCATTATGATCCATTTACACACTCACACAGACATAAATACATTTATATGTCACATGGGAGGATTCTACCCTTTCCTATCAGGACACACCTAAGAGTGTGGAGGGTCTGTCTGATATGAAGGATAATTTTATCCTGTAATGTGTATAATGAACTTTAGGAAATCATCATTAAGTTACAAAAATAAATGTAATTGAATATTTATGGAGATTAATCCTTTAAAAATTCTTGGTTTTGGTTATTTTGGTTAAACAACAACTTTTTGGTTCTAGACAAATATAAAAAGATACATTAAAATATGAAATTTCAGAAAGTATTAGTAAATTTGGAGTCATTTAAAATATGATTTATTTTAGGGAGCACATGGGTTCAAGAAATGGTGTGGTGTATTGGAAATGACTTGGATTTTGAAACAGCTAAACAATATGGCCAGTTTCGAAATCCTCTTTTAGAGTAAGTAGAGTTGTTTCTTTAATAAAAATTTATTATTATATTTAAATTTAACCGTTTTTTTCAAAAAACAACTTTTTACTAATGATTACATCCAGAAAAATCAGATTAAATACAGAAGTTTCTTAGAAGGAAAAGTGAATGTATAACTATTTACAATTTTCTTCATAATGTTATTAATAAAATTTCATAATTCTGAACAAAGATATTATGCAACTTTATATATTTAATGGTTATTTTAAAGATATGTATTGGCTCATTATGCGCTTAACACGTTTAACAACCTTAACTTAATATTTTTTTAACACTGCCTACAAACTAAAATTAATTCTTCTACCCTCTCCTCCAAACGCAATATCTTATCAGTCAGGATTCAGATGTTAGAATGGTTTAATAAGAAAATCTCTGATTCATCCTGGATAAAGTTTATCTTTTAAATTAATTTATGCAAATTAAAAAAAATAATCTTTTTCTGTTTATTAGAAAAAGGTTCATATAAACAAAAAGTTGTAAATTCATATAAATGTAAAGTTGTTTCATTAATGTTTAACAGAAAGACAGCATTTAGCTTATAAAAAATATGTCATATTATGGTAAATACTATAGTATCTAAATAACAATTTCAGGCTTACAGCATTGATGGGTAATGATAAGGGTTCTTGGAAAGACAGTTTGGGTAACTCAGTAGACTTAGCAGAGAGTTTGAAATCACCAAGGTTCATCAAAACACATTTGCCTGTAACACTTCTTCCTAAACAGATTTTCACTGTTCGCCCAAAGGTATTATAAATATGTTTTTATTCCTGTCATAGAATTGTTAAAGTTTTTGAAAGTTTATTTTTATAATTTATTAAATTGAGTATTTCACCTAAAATTCATTAAAAAATATGCGAACTTCATTACAGATTATATATGTAAGTCGAAACCCGAAAGATATGTGTGTTTCTTACTATCACTATTGCAGACTTCTTCATGATTTCCACGGTAGTTTTGAAGACTTTGCTGAAATTTTCTTGCAAGGAAAAGGTAAATTATGTCATTATTTAATTATAATATAGTAATAATTCCAAAAATGTTACAAGACAATAAGACTTTTTGTTATAACTTATGATGAAACTCTTCTACATGATCAGTAGAGTTGTTTCTGAAAAGGCTTTATTTAAAACTGGTATTTAAACTTTAATAATTGTAATTTAGTTTGGTTAACTATTTCAAGATTTTAAATATTCTAATAAATGTAATTAACCTATTTTCCTTAAAATAATAATATTCATTTTGGTGTGTCTTGATATTAGCACCTGTAGGACCATACTGGAGCCATGTTCTTGGTTTCTGGGATCTTCGCCATGATGAAAATGTACTGTTTTTGAAATATGAAGAAGTCAGAAAAGTAAAACTTTTTTTATTTACTTTATTATAAGTTTTATTATACTGTATAGCAATAAGAAAGTAATAAATTATATATTATTATCTTGCAGGATCATAGGGGATGTATATTAAAAGTAGCTAAATTCATGGGAAAGGATATTTCTGAAGATGATGTAAGCAAATTGTTGGATCATTTGAGTTTTCAAAAGATGAAGGAAAACCGTGCACTAAATCTAGAAGATTTTCTTCAGGCCCGAAATGGACCAGGTTTCATACAGAAGGTATTTAAGGAATTTTATTTGTTTAATTGCATATTTCTATGACAATATTTATTCTTGAAACACAGCGAAATGATATTTATAGGACAAAAAAGAAAAATTAAAATGAAAAATATATTAATTTAATTATTTTGAGTAAAATAAAATATCCTGGGCATTAATAAAATGAAAATTAATACATAAAAAATTATCAAATAATCAAAATCTCTTTCATTAATTTTTTCTTGTGTGGGACTTTTTGATACTATCCTCATAAAAAATTTGGATGAAGAGCTAAATAAAATGAATAAATAGGTTTTTTTGAAAGGCATTTTTGATCGTAAATATTTAAATAAATACTGTATTGTTATTATTATATAAAAATTGTTTAAATAAAAGAAAGACAGTGTTATTGAATAAGGATGGGATCAATTAAAACATTCAACAGTTAGAAAAGAGTATTAATAATACAATAGAGTATTAATATGCCATCTCCATTTTGTAAATTACTGATGCAAAAATGTTTAAAGCTGTACATCTTGAATTAAATAATTTTAAAATGTCTGTTCATTTATGTGACTATCATATACTGGTAGTATAATGTGACAAATGAAGTCTGATATCTAGTCTGATCAGGGTGACCAGACCTTCATACGAAAAGGGAAAGTTGGCGACTGGAAGAACTACATGTCACCAGAACTTGCTGAGAGGTTTGACAATTGGACCAGAGAGAATCTTAAAGGCACTGGTCTCAGTTTTAATACAGAAGAGTGATCAGTATACGATTCTAACTTGCAGGGCCTTCTCGAAATGTGATATAACATTTCCTTTTAATATCAAAATAGATTTATCAGAATTGCTAAGGATTGCTAATACAATGACAAATATTTAATTTTAGTATGATATTGTTACTGTGCCATTACAAAATCATATTAATTATTATTAGAAAGAATCATTACAACTGTCTATGTAATATTTTTTTTTCATTCAAACATTATTTGTACATATTTTAAATCAGGAATATCTATTTCTGTGTAATTAAGAAATATAAATCTAGAATTACACAACTCTTCAAATGAACAAGATCTAATTCTGTATAATTTAATATATTTCTCTTTTGATTTCTTTACTAAATCAGTTCTTTTCAAACAATAAAATTATCACCAAACTATAATAATTAAATCTGCTACAATCTTAATTTTTGTATATAATGTTGTTTATAGCTATATATAAGTAAAATAAAATTACTTGTAGTAAATAGAGAATGTACAAAAGACATTATTTTATTATAGATATAATATATAAAATATATATACATGTATATTTGGATATATAAATAAGGAAAATTAAGTAAGTTTTAAGTAAGATTATAATTTCTTGAAATAATTTCATTATAACACTAGAATATACAAAAAAACAAAAAAAAAAAACAAAGAAAAAACAATAGATGCAAATTTGGTCTAAACTCAACTAATATTGATTTAAAAGTTTTTAAAAATATAAATCAAAATAGCATTATTTTATTTCTTTTATATTAACTTAAATTTAATGTTCTCTAAAACCATCAACGGTTTTATTGTCAACGGTCATGTTACCCATTTGTATTACTATCTGCCTAGTAGGGTATAGTGGGTTACGGAATTGGTTTTTGTAGTTTTCCAAGGAATAATATAAATAATTAATAGTTTCCTGGTTATAATTAAGATTCACTTGTTTAGCGTAAGAATTTTATTTTTTAATTATCATTAGATTGTATTTATATTGAAAATACAAAATGTTTTCATTTTTAAAACCTTTGTCATTATGTATTTATGAAGTGAAGATAATGATTATTGTATATAATATTTAATATTATTTTCATAAGAAATAAAATTCTGGTTTTAAAAACAAGACAAAAAAACGTTATAAGTGCTTTTATTTTAAAATAATTCCATGATTTCCTATTTTTAAAAATCCAATTATGAAGTACTTAGCTAGAGGTAAATAAATATTTTTATGTTAACAAATAATGAAAGAAAGAAGAATGAAAGATAAGTCAATTTTATTCTGGGACTTACAGTCCTCTAAGAACAATGAACAATTTAATGACATTTGTCTGGCATAAGAAGTTGATCATCTACTTGTTAATTTAATTACATCGCTATTGATTCTTGGTATTATAATAATGCTAAGTTATTTAATTTACAAATAATGAAAATATGAGTTTTCAAATAAAATAATCTGCTAATGATTTTATGGTACTTTTTACTATAGTACTTTTTCTTGTTTTTAGTTTTAAAATTGTTGTTTATTTAAAATTTAGTAATGATTTAATTTAATTTAATGTAGATTAAGAATTACATAGTGTGAGTTCTCACATGCCTATCTACTTATTAAGAGGTCTTTATCATCCAACCTGTGGAAACTGCAATGTCCAAAGAACTGTAAAATACATTCTGCAAGATTGCCTTACACTGAAAAACATCAGGGAAAATTTGGATATAAGACCATACACATCAGGAAATTTAAAAGAAAATGAAAAAGCTATTAAAGGAACATTAGCATTTCTATAATTGCTGAAACTTTATCATAAATTTTAACTTGAAGATGTTCCCAATGACTCTGCATTGTAGAGGCAACAGAAAAAAAAATATTTAATTTAATTGTATTTAATTTTAATTTTTTAAAATATAGTATAAACACATACAGTTATCGAAAGCTCTTAGCCAACTTGTTTTAAGTATATTCAAACCAACTCTGAGCTTCAACTATGGTAAGTTACTGTATCAACAAAATTATAATGGAGTTGATCTTAATGTTAAGTGAACTTTTATTACAAATAAATGTGGTGTAAGGCTGAGATATAATTTTTAAATGTGACTCCTTTTATTTACCAAAAAAAAGTTATGATAATGTATAAGATTTGAACTCCTATTTCAAAGTTTGTCTACTGGTAAATATAAATTGAACTTCAACATTCAAATTTGCTATATGTCGTTTATTGAGTTTGACAATGTTCTGTGCTTCAACTATGGCAGGAAGAGTTATTTTACACATTACCGACCTATGTAAAGAGGATTTAGAGGATAAATAATGATCATGAGTTTAATGTCAACCCTCTCAGGCCAGATCTGAATTGGCACCACTGTTGACTCATGAATGCTCAAATACTGCATCAACAATAAATAAATGATCTCTAAAAAATACCCTGTTGTCAATGAATAACAAATTGACTTTTTATAAACTCAGTAAAGTTTTAAGTTTTTCTTTTGACAATCTGAATGTTTCAATATTTTAAACCATTATGTTTTAATTAGTTTTTATTAGCAAACACACTGTAATTTTTTGTTTGATATTTAGATTTTCAACCATTATGGGTAGGTATAAATTTTCTTTTAATCAGCAATGGGGTTAAGAATACAATTAGCATTGAAATAACATTAATGTAACAAGTATGATTTCATTAGATCATAAATAATACTGATTAAATTTCATATTGTATTAAATTTTATTCTTTATTCTTAGGTAGAAAATTGTTTGTTTTTAATTACAAATCCATTGTGATAAATCAAACTATTTGAAATGAAATTTTCTAATTTAAATTATTTAGATTATTAAAAACTTTCTGAATAAATGCACAACACAATCTGCACATTATATACAAACAATTCCTAGATACATAATTTCATAAAAGTAGAAATTGGTTGTTTAATATTCACTCTTATCAAATGCTGAAATACAATGCATTTTATCAATATTTTGTATGAACAATGTTTAACTAATAAATAGCTGCATGAAAATTAATCACTCCTCAGTTTCGCTTGCAGTGAATTGCATCTTCTTGGCTCCCTGTCTCTTCCACAGTCAAGTTTACGACTTCAATACATTTGAAATTGTAACATTTAAAATAAAAAACAAATCAATTTGTATTCAATTAAAAATTAGATCTTTATAGTTAGATAAAAGATAGTAAAGAGAAGTCCTGCAGCTTGTTGATGTCCTCACAACAGTTGTACGGTCAGCTCGTTCAAAGTTCGCTTTTACAATTTCATAGTAGCGTCCATCACTGAAATATAACATTTTTATTATATTAATATCATATTATATTACATTTTTGTAAAAAGAAATGATCAAAGCTTAAAAAACAAAACAAATTCAATGAGAATTTTGTCATTGATATATGAATTAAAACTGGACATTCTCAGCCTCAAATCACTCAATATTCAATTTATTTCTGGATTCATTTTTAAAAAAAGTTCATTCCTTACTTCATTGAAGAATTCAATTGAATTATTTGAATATTGAAAAGATTGTTCCTGTCTCTACTCTTAAAGCTCGAATAATTTTTATTTTGGCTTAGATTCGACCATCCTCCATGGCCTTTCTTACTGGGATCATGGGATGGCTAACTGCTGTTCTCGGCCATACCACTACTGCTTTATTCAGCTACCCTCACAATTTTTTAGTAAACTTTGTTTGATATAACTCATTTAGAAAATTGTTTTGATGGAATTGAACTCAGAAAACACTGAACCCATGGTTTGATTTAGTATAAGTATGCAAACATGAAACTCTATCAAAACTTCATGCGAATCATGCACAAATTCCCTTAATAGTAACAATTAAGAAAAGTCTTAAGCATTTTACTCACCTTAAAACAAGACTTTTCATTTTCAGACATTTCACTCGGAGTATGTCGATTGCTTTTTGTGATTTATCAGAAAACCTAAGGTTTTCCGGGTCCCATCTGAGTTCTAATCGCTCGAGTTTAGGACAACTATTTGCAATACCATCCATCAATTGATCAACATGAATATTTACACCTAATCGTTCACGAGTGCCCATTATAAGAATTCTGTAATAAAAACAAAGGAATTAAGATGAATTATGATGTTTATTTAATCTTCATTTTTAAATAAAAATTAATTCCATTTTTAAAATTTATTTCTACTTTTATGACTATATAGAACTCGAGATTAGTTAAGATCAGACAGTCTCTTTATTAGTTTCTCTATTTAGAGTCTAAAAATAAATGCTTTCGAGAGTTATTTTTATATCTTTACATATTCTCCTATCAATAAGAGTATTCAGAATTAATAATAACTTACTTCAAAATTAAAAAAAAATCCTAAAATCAACTTACTTGGCATTAGTCACAATAGGAAGTGCTGCCATCCATAACTGATCTGTAATATGAGGCATGCCAGATAGTGACAACCCCAACAGCTGGTGGCCATGTCTTGTGAGGAACTTCTTTATTGCATCATCTGACAAGTTGTCAGATGCCTCTAGGTCAAGAGCTATCAGGTTTCTTGTGTTGCCATTTTCTGTCCATGCTTTGAGTACCTGGAACATAATTAAAGATTCATAATTTTAATGTCTCGTGTTTTATTGGTAAAATAATTAAAATGCAGATGATAAATTAAACACTCAAAATATTCTTGCATCTTAAAAGTAGGAAAAATAAAATTTTCTAAAAAAGTTCTTCATGATGATAGCTGGTCAGCAATAATACTTAATAGTGGATATCACTCTTCTTCTTAAATTCTTTACAATTTATAGATAATATGTTTAAGTTATAGATCTTGTCATTTAATACAATATCTTGATTCGATTGTTACTTTGATTATTTGACTATGGCTTAACCATAAGTAGAGTAATGTTTTATCATTAATCTTGTTCATTTGTAGGTAAATAACAATTTTCTTTGTGAAGGATTCAACCGATTTTTATGTTTGATATGTCAAATTATTCAGTGAGATCCTGAGTATATTTGTGCTCAAAATACTTCATTATATCTTCATTTGTTTCAAACAATATTGTGTTCAAGTTCATGGTTATATGTAATGTAGCTAAATTGCCAATAATTGAAATACTAAAAACTGAAAAGTAGCTACATCTTTAGTTATGACTCTATTATTGACCTTCACAATGAAATTTGACCCATTATCAAACAAAAACTCTTAATCCAAAAATAATTTTAAAAAACAAACTAACTTTGGTAATAAATTTATCCGTGTTGAATGATGAAACATGCTTACATATCAACTTAAAAAGATTTGTGGATTGTGAATAAAGTCTTGCAAGTTGGTACAGATGAGTACCTTATACTATATGTCAGAGCTGCTTGAAAGTTGCATCTTGACATGTGTAAATGTCAACTTATAGAAAGCTCCGTGCATCTGATTATATAAAGTAATAGAAAGTAAATTAATGTATTGTCTGAAGATTCTTCAGTTATGTTCCAGTTTAGAGGGCATCCAGCTACCTACACCAAATTTCAATATCTATTGAGACCAACTTCATAAATAATCCACCAATGTGTTTAAATTGATACATAAGTCTTAGAAGAATCAGTGATAGGAAAACCCTACATTTGCTGGAGAAAGTTAAATAGATTTGGAAGCAAAATAAGCTTAAAAGAGCAAAATATACAATTTTGAAGTATCTTACTTAGTGCAAAGTTAACATACCAAATGACTCGATCATATAATTAGTATGGATCTAAACCACAAAATTCAGATGATTAAAGAGATAGTCAAACCTCAATTATCGCCAAGAAAAGATAAAAGTCTTCTCATTTTTTATTTAGAAATTTGAGTGATCTAGCTTTAAGCTCTATTTTTGAGGAAAATAATAATAAGAAAGAATAAATCACAGGCATGCACTTTTATTATCTTTAAAATTCGGAAGTGTTCTTAAAATTTACTATGGATGAAAAAATTAAATACAAACTGAATCGTTGAAACCATTTATTTGGCCAGCTCGAAGGAATCTCAAACCGGGGATTCTAGTAAGCATATCTATCAGGCATTCTGCGGACAGATCTGTAGCAGTTACATCCAACTCTTGTATAGAGCTCTTCTCCCATTCAACTGCCATGACATGTTCACTCTTAAGACCTAAATTATTTAAAGAAAAGCAAACAATTAATATTACTTTAAAATAAAGAGAAATATTCTTGTGTTTAATTTAAAAAAATACAATGAAATTTTGGATGGTTTACTAACTGGTCTGGTTCATTAAAAGGCATCTGAGACGACGACTTCTTTGAAAAAGGGTCTTCATCGTGGAGCCAGTAACCTTATTGCAGAAGTTGACGGCCAGGCATTCTAACTGAAAACATTTCTTCTCTTGTTTGAAAGTTAATTAAAACTGATTATTATCTATTTTAAAGTTTTTATAAAATATTAGGCCAAAGGTCACCAAATTTACACTGTTTTTACATCCTGTATTATTCATTCGACGTGTCGGCTTCAGGGGCCATTTTCAAGATCGTGCAAACTAATTTTAATTCAGTTGTTATACTTCAAAATACATCCTTATAAAACACATATTAATTTAACAACAATCGGTTATATAAATAGTCCAAACTCTATTTCATAAACATTTTTTTTTTAAGGATGTATTTTAAAGTATAACAACTAAATTAAAATTAGTTTGCAGGATCTTCAAAATAGCCCCTGAAGCCGAAACGTGGAATAATGTAATGTAATACACAGGATGTAAAAACTGTGTACATTTGGTGACCTTTGGCCTAATATTTTATAAAAATTTTTGAAAAAAATGGCACCGAACCTAAAAGATATGATTAGAAAATTATCTATTTTTTTTTTAGAATGATAAACCAGTATATAAAATTATTTTTTTATTTTTTTCTTATTTTATTATGAATGCCTATTTTATTATAAATAACTCAAATGCTATATAACTGACTGCATGATATTCATTAATCTAGCACTAGAAATAATTATTTATGTTCCAAAAATTAAAAGAATTAAGTAGAATAAATATATATGTGTAATTTGTATTTGATTATAAATAAAATAGCAGTAGTTAATTTTGAAAAATTATTGTGGTCCCTATTATCACTGCTAAATCTTACTGCGGCCTCTAATGACAAAAAGGTTTCCTGTTTCTGGTATATGGCATAGGTGGGGAACTTGTTTATCATCAGAGGTCACATTTAAGTCAAGCAGTATTAATGGTGGCCACAAAAATTTTCTATATTTTACTGTTGCTATTTTTATTCATTAGTGAATGTACAAACACACACTCCCATTCACAAATATTCAACTTAATACTATTAATTTCCAAATTGCATAACTTAAATAATTAAATATTAATTAATCCTAGATCTTGTTTAATAAATATCGCACAAAAACTAACAAAGGCTGCAGGTTCCCCACCTAGTATAACTCTATATTTAGGATTTACAGTTATCAATTACATTTAATCAGAAGGTTTCTCAAAGAAATTCAACCATAATAAAGAAGTAGTTTAAATTAAAATATCTGATGGAACTTCAATTGAAAAGTTAAACAACTCTATGCAAATTAAAATATGAATAATGTCACTAACATATTATGAAAAAAAAAATAATGGACTTCAGCCAATTTCAGAAACTGATGGTATTATTTTTGTAAAAAGGGAAGGATAGACTTTGTCATACAGTTAAATTGTTTCAGAAGCAAAATGTTTTTTAAGGTTAGAAAGTTTTATGATTTAGTTAATTATCGGAACAATAATCAAGATAATGATTGTCTCATATTGAGAACCATAAAATTACCTGTATGCAGTTTGAACTAAAAGCATCTATATGGCTGTCATCAATGAAATTAATTCCATAGAGGTTGATAACTCGTAAATTTGGAGTGGCAGATTTCATTTTATGAACATTGATGACTTCATAAATTTCTTCCTCTTCTTCTTCCACTTTTTCATAAGTACCTGAGTATAAATAGAAATAAATTAATTTGCCAATTATATTTTAACTGAAATCTTATGTATTTGTTCCTTACCAACAAGATGCAGAATTTCTAAACCATTAATAAAATTATAAATTTTTCTCATAAAACCTTCCATGAAGATGACTTCAGACAGGCAAATACACATATATTTCAATTTCGTAGGGAATGTCTGAAAGTAAATTATTAACCACCATTAATTAACTGGTGCATTAAATATGGTTTTTGTATAACCTGTTTTCTAAAAAAAAACACCTGAAGTTCAGAGAAATCATGGAGTTGCATCGCTGTTGAGAAATCTAGCAGCATGTGTGTTAGGTTGGGACACTTATTGGCTAATTCATGAAGAACAGTATGTGTGATCAATTCAATCGGCAGTTCTATGTATCTTAGTGTTGGTCCAAACCGGATACTAAACAAAATAAAAAACAGAAAAATAAAACATTAAGCTACTATAAACTGTAATTATTATTAGTTATGTTTGTAAGAAGGCAAGTAAGTGCCTGTCAATTAGTGTGAAAACATTTATTTAACATAGTTTGTTTCATATTATGGATTTGAAAACTAATTTCATGGAGTGAAATTCATTGTTTAATTTTGCAGAATATTCATGCTATTAAGTATTGAATTATTTAGACTTACCTGATGAGGGCTAAAAGTGCCTCCAGACTTCCGACATGAAGACCTAAAACTTCAGGCCTAAGAGAAACAGCCTTCCACAGCCTAGTGTCATAAGCAATGACTCTCCATTTTTTACAGACCCTGGCCATCCGACAAATTTCCCTATGGGATAAGTAGGAGAAGATGTGCAGTAGAACCTTGTCCGGTAGCTTCTCGATTGTCTAGAGTTCATAATGTCACATGGACTATATGAGAATAGAGAAAGGGGATATATGAAGTAAAAAATTAAATTTATTAAAGATCATTCACAGTTTAGTGAGCTTAAAAAGCATTACCTTGGGTGCAAACATGAGTCAGTGAAAGAAAACACATTCATCAAAATTAGTTCAATAGCAAATTTTGGGAATACCTTTATTTAAGCAAGTGTTGACTTATTAAATATTGAATTAATACCAGAATGTTATTATGAAATAAAACTATTCAATACCCTGTCATACTTATAGAAAATAAGCAATTCTTTAAAATGATTTACAGTTTCTTTTAAAAATAAACCATAACTTATATATTGATGTATGTGGAATGCTCACCGTGTTCGCGAAGGGACTCCTCTTGATCCCAGACCCATCATCAATGTACACTTGACTTCGCTCAACGGCCAACTGGCCCCATACCTATATCCAACATGAGACATCCAAACTTAAGTAGACTTTTCATAATATTTAAGTCACTTTGGACAACTGCCTCAGTTCAACAACCCTCATGGTGCCTATGAATCACTTATAATTTTATTTTAATTCAATTTAAATGAATTTTAGTAGCCTCCCCTCCCTCATAGAATACATAAGTTTAATCATTTCAAATCTCCTGATTAAATCTCTCTCTTACTCAGTAATCAAAGACATTTATTTAATGTCTCTCATGAAGCTTAATGAATAACAGGGATATGCTTGAAAAATACATTCAGAATTGAGAGTTGCCTGACTTGAAGGTGTTTCAGAATGTTAAGGGTGGAAAGTTTATGTTTAAAAAACATATATTTATCTACAGCGTACTCATGTCCTGAGAAAAACTAATGTTGAAGATATAACAATGAGTTATAATAACTTTTCTTTTCTGGAGAATATATTTAACTATGCAATGAACGCATAAAGAGACCAATCACTGTCTTAATCTTAAGAGTTTTACCATAATATTAAAAAGATTCCAAATTCCTTCTTATGAAACAAATAGCTTGGTTATGGGAAACAAATAAGGATTTAAGATGTTCATATAGATCTGAATATTTTAATTATTATGTTCAGAAGAATGTAAGGTAGTAAAAAACAATATTTAATAACTGTGGAGGTATAATTTACCATAGAACTAATCATAAAAGAAGTTGGTTGGGAGAGCTCACCCTCAATCAATTTCTCTTGCAATATTCCATAAGATGAAGTTACATGAAATGCTAGTATTTCAAGAACTATTATTAAGAAAACAATAAATGAAAAATCATTTATACTTCTTCTCAGTTGACATAACTTATTTCATCATTCTTGGCCACCAATTTGTTTATTTTTACAGTTTACTAAGCAATGGCACTTTTTTCTAGTTCTCAAAACTCAGAAGATCTGTATTTTTACTTGTTTTTCTTTAGGGATTTTGAAAAATTATTTTTCTGAATGTGACTTAAAAATTTTTGTGAAAGAAGAAATCAATATCTAATTCAATAGACTAATGATTTCTCAACTTGTTCAAGTCTCCCATATATTAAGACTAGTTCTAGCCACAGGCTCCACAAAGCTAGATTTTTTCTTTGTATCCAAAACAACAAAGGAATGTGGTTGTTTCTTTTTGAACAGGTGATGACAGAAGTATTAAAATACTTCATGATGTTTAGGACAGGCTGGACCAGTTCCAATAGAGTGACTATTTTAGAATACAGATGAAAATGCAACTCTCTAAGAATATTTTGTCAGAAAAAAATAAGTAAAGTAACAAGTGACAATAACTGAATAATGATATTACATGTTAGTTAGATAGTAGGTACTATTTCTAGTTCTGAGAAGTTTTCAATTAAATTCTCCAGGGTATATGTATACACACACATTTTATATATACATCACTTAATTTACTTCTTTACTGACTACATAAAATATTTTCTCATTAATTGTCCATATCTAATCCTAAAGACAGCTCTCTTCAATTACTACCATCAAACTTCAAGGATATGAGAGTTCTTAAAAAATCAAAATATTTCGAGAAAGAATTCTAGGGTGGAAATATGACTAAGTACACGCCTTGATTATAAAAAAAAAAAAAAAAAATCCGTTAGCCTCGTGATATATATTAAATAAGTAATATAGCAAGATTTGTTATCCTTCTTTACATGTATATTCCCTAACAGATAGACATTTCCGGGGCTGCTGTGTTGTATGTGGCGAGATTTAAGTGACAAAACCATCAAATCTCTACAAATGGATCTGAGAATACTTTTGCATATCTATCAATGATATACCATATTTATTCTATTATTTTCATTACAAGAAATAATCACTGTCTCAATTAGAAATCAGTGATAGAACATTTTAAAAACCTGTCTCTCCTACAAGCACCACTCAATACTTTTTCCTCTTCAATGGCTTATAAGTGTAGTATTAACACTATGTGTTTTGAAAACACTCTCTCAGTAAAAATTACAGTTCACTAAATCATTGTCCCTTGGGTCTATCATTGTCACTAAATCTTTTCTCTGGCCTTATTCAATCCCCCTTCCTCCCAAAACACTAAAAAAAAGAGAATGTTTGTGTTTCCAGCCATGTGGGAATAGTGCTGTCTTCAAAAAAGGCTGATTGTCTTGTTTAGTCAACTTGAGTCCAGTAGTTCTGTTGAAACTCGTAACGTGAAAAATGTAAATCTGTTTTAATTCAACTCCTTCATCATTCAGAAGTAGTATTACTTTATAACTTTTTATCAGCAAATTAAAGTTTGTATGGAAGAAACAAGATCTTCAATTTGTTCTCTGATTGTCAGTCACGTTTTTATTGGAATTTCTCTTTCATCTAGCGTCTATTTATTTATTTATTAGGGATGAGAGGGGGGAGTGGGATTTTGAACTTTTTAATTTATTTTTGCTAACAGAGAGATTTATGTAATAATGCAAAAATAATATTTACAAAAATCTAATTTTTGTGCTAAAATGCCTTTGAGGTTATTATTGCGATTTATTTAATTAGTCTGAATGGCGTTTGCCAAATATATTAAGAATTTTAACTGAAACCTAATATTTATCTCTCTCACATAGAAAATATGTCTCTACCCATGAAAGATATTTTTCTAGAAAATGAATATCTGATAAATTATGCACAGTTGTGTTGTACCACTTTGTCTATCTTACTAAGACGACAATCTTAACTAAATGAAAGGAATCAAATAAGAAAAATCGACAAAAACAAATCGTTAAACCAATCTGGTCAAATTTAATGTATTCCATGAATTGAGATGATAAATAAGAACTTCTACTTATCAATTGTCATGTATGAATAATTACAGAATGATGAAAAGGAATTAAACAGAGTGCGGAAGGCCGAGTGAAATAGCACCTTTTTCAAGAATATTATATATTTTATAAATTAATGTCCCCATTCCGTGAAGCATTCCTAAGATTAAGTTCAAATTTTGCCAGCACATCAAACATTTATTAGTCAGAAACAAGTGGGGATTAAATACACATCTAAAATAAATATCTCGGTAGACAACGAAAACCCCGCCAAAGGCGGAGATCTGGTCTTTACTATAAAAGAACAAAATTTAACTAACAATTTTTGCTTGATTGTAGTTTTTTAAATAAAAAATAAAATAAAAGCCAAACTGAAACAGAAGAAGATTACCCACAATCTTCCCTTAGGTACGCCCCTGCCTATATCTTGAAACAATGGTCTAATTTGGGATAAAGGAGTATCTGGTTCCTTACAGATCTATACCAATATGGAAATGTTTTGTCTCTTAGGTGCAATTTTGAAACAAAGTCCATAGTATACAAATTAATCGAATCAAATACTTTCTTAATACTTATCAATATTAACATTCGTTAAGCGATTTGAAGTATATCAAAATAATTTCTAGATTCATTTCCATTAAAACTGCATGTTAATTTTTTTTTAAATATAAGTATTCTGATTGTTTTAAAATATATTTGTAAAAGAGTTCCGGTCAACATATTTAAATCCATTAAGTACTTAAATGTTTTGTATAGATCACAAGATTATTCGAAGGTGCTTTATATAAAATCGCGCATGTGAAAAGAAGCTTATTATATAATTTAAGGGCTTAAGATAGCCAGGTTATATTTACAGCTCTCGGCATATACTATTACTGGATCGGGCCAAACTTAAACGAGTTTTATTTTCACATAAGAGTTTTTATTAAGTTGTATGGTTTTTAAAAAATATATTTCTTCGTAAAATTTAGATGAAATAATAATATGGCCAAAAAGTACTCAGGAATAAATGAATTCTGTTTTCTCACTACTGTTCTGTAATAATAAACAAAAAGCTTTTACTTTTCTACCCAATTATTGATTTATTAGCATTTTTCAAAAATATATATTGAAAATTTTTACTTATTACTTCATTCAGAAGCGTTATAATTTCATTACAAATTTATTAATTATTATTCAACATAGAATTTGAATTATTTATAGATAATCGAATTGTAGGAGATAAACTTGCTATTAAAAACAAAATATGATACTCCGGGTAGTGAAAAATGGGTTTGATTGGACTCAACGTAGATAGTGAAAATTGACATATTCATGGCTGAGGTCGGAGACATTGTGACCTTTAAAGGAAAATTAAAAATTTAATCGTGAGCAAAAAGATACTAAAATATCTTTGGCCTGTAACCAAAAAGTATCTATAAGTTGCCAATACAATGTTTTTTGGGTTGCTTTTATGTTAAATTGTAATGAGATCATATTTCAGTTCGTTTATTTATTTATTTCATTTCCATAAGCCTAATGTCTTGATTTCGCGACTTTGTTAGTGATAGATCCTAAAATATACCAAAAATGTTTGAGAAATCTCCAATTAACATAAGTGTTTTCAGAATAAATGCCAATCCTTTTATCTTACCTTAAGAAATAAAGTTTAAAAATAATTTGTCATAAATATTTTTTTTGTGAACTCGTGGACGACATAGCATTTTGCAAAACTTTACTCATATTTTCATTAACCACGAAGTTTGTGTATGAACGTAATACACTCGAAACCTAAATCCTCACTGCACATCACATGTACCACGACACACTTATTACTTCGGATCATGAGAGTTGTTGAACTATGAGACATCTTTTTTTTTTTTACAAAACGGGGTACCAACATCGTCGCACATGGCGGGTCCAATTTCTTCTGGTTCTTGAAGATGTTACGGGACACCTTTGCAGGACAGCTATCGTAGTACTCCCGGCAACACAGTATTTTGTGGTCCCGCTGCCAAGAAACCAAACAGAAATAGATTCTAATAATCTAGTAGTTATGCATTTGTTATATTACTGATATAATCATAAAATCCTTCATATCCTCGAATAAGTTTCGTGGATATATATTCGTACATATACAAATTTTATGTAATCTAAAAGCTTGTTTCAAAATTTAGTTTATGACACATCTCAACTTAAAAAACAATTTTTTTAAAATCAAATAAGCATCGAGTCATCAATTAATTTTGAAAGATTCGATGAGGATCAAATACCCCTTTGGAATTTGACATCATATTAGCATGATTATTAATTCCTGAATAAATGGTTGATTACAACTTTTTTGCTTGAGGTGAAACTCTTCTAAAAGTAATATTTTCATTATTATGATTTTAAAAAAAAGTGAGGATTTTTCTTCTTAACTTTCTTTGATTATTCAACAATCATAAAGTAACTGAATGATAGAAGCAATCTAATTGATGTAAATAATCAATATTAATATTATTTTAAGTTGTCATATTTTTTCAATGATAATTTATTTTTAATTAGTATCTTCTGACGCCAGACAAATGTAAACTTCTGATTTCAATAATAAATATTGATAAATTGGATTGAAAAATGATCGTTTTCTTCGCAATGTCAGTCGCAACTAATAATTTAATTAGTTTTTAACGGTTTGAAAGAGATTTATTATGAATGTTGTTTTCATTGATCAATAAAAGGAAAAAAAAAATCATATAAATGTTAGTATTACTGATTAAATTAAAATATTATTTTTATCAATTATTAATATATAAAATTTATGAGTTAAAAAAAAAAAGAATTTGGTTTAACCCAAGTGATCATTATACAATAGATTGAACAGTATGAAAATTATAAATATATTTTAATATACAGTTCTTTTATTTATGGCGTATTTGGAACTTTGCTTCAATGGAAAACGTATAAGAAATAAGATTTGGGAGATGAACTTTACCTACTGATTCTGTAGAAGCTATTTGGAAGACTAGGATCAGTTTATAAATAGTTTCCCCACCAACCATTCTATGTTATGATAATGGTGCCGAAAGGCATCTAGGGCACTCAATACTTTTTGTATTTGTTTATTTGTTTAAATTTTCAATTGTTACAAAGAAATAAAAAGTATTTACACTAACCAACTTCTTTAAATGAAGGCATTCCCATTTTTTTATTTTTAAATAACTAAATAAACATAAAAACATGCAGTATTGTTAGTGTTGCAAGGTTAAAATAAATTTGCTGTTAAACAACTTTTAATCACAATAACCAGTAAGAAAAATATTGAAACAAATATGGGTACAAATATTGTATTAGTTGACGGAACAAAATATCATGTGTTAGTTCTCTTTTCCATTACAATAAAACAGTTATATAAACTATTCTCAGGTTCAGTAGATGGGGAGATTCTTCCTTTTTAATAAAATTTTATTAATATTTAAACCTTATTATTACATGGTTTTATAGTACTCAATAACTCAAGAGTTTGACAAACAGCAAGATTTTATTCATTTATTAAAAGAACTAGAAAAATGTTATTATAAATTAACTTTTAAAATATATCATTAGATTTTGTGTAAAATGATCAGTTTTGGAGTTGAATGAATATTTATAAAATTTAAAACTCATAATTTCATTTTTATAAAAAGAAAAACTACAATTCTTGAAATATTATTATAAACGTAAGATATTACTGTAAATATTGAGATTCAGAACAAAGTTAGATGAACTTTTTCTGCTAAAATCTATCTATTCTTGATTCTTTAACTGTAAAATGTACCTCAACCTATATCAATATATTCACGAAAGAAAAACAATTGAAACACATCACAAATAACCCAACAGGAAAATGTAGACTGGCACAAAGTGATTCTGATCATCTGAAAAAAAAACATGTGTTATTTTCAAACTTACTGTTGTACGTCTTGTAAACAACAGATCCACAGTTCTGAGACTCATTGCTTTCTATACAAAAAATAAGTGTTAAAAAAGTGTGAATCTAAATTGTTGATGTTTTAAAAAAAAAATTGTTGAAGCACCTCTTATCTGGCACAACTTTCATTATTAAAAAAAAATTAAATATAAAGTGCTATAAAATATCTCAAAATTTATTCATACAACAAATATTATGAGAAGATATATTCTCATTATCTTAATCAAAGGTTTCTGTTATATGAGAGAATGAATTTCTTTTAGAAACTATTTAATGACAAGATGGAGTTGAAGAATTTTCATGAAGATTGTCAATTGAATAAAAATGTATTTGATACATTTGATATATATATATATATATATATATATATATATATATTGTATCTATATCTAATCTATCTAGATAATTGTCCACTAGATCAGTGCAGAGACACAGGGTGGCACGCCACAGAACCTCTCTTAAACAAAATTCATCTCATGCTCAATAATAATTTTTGCTTAGAATCATATTTCTTAACTATTTTATGGGCAATAAGAATCTAATAAGGTTTATTTTTAAGACTGGTAATTTGGCAATAACCAGTTTATTTTAGAACTTTCATTTAACCATAAAATAAAAAGATTAACAAGAATTCTAACATAAAGGATTTATTTGACCTCTAGGTTGGTGTGGAGACACAGGACATTCTCCAATAAAGTAATACTACACAATACTGTGCTGTCCCTCCAGACTGCTATAGTGGACAACTAGAATTAATTGGCCAAGTTTTAATGTCGAATCAAAATCTATAAATTTGAGTCATAAGCATTAGATGAAAACTAATTTTACCTCACTCAATTTGAATATTAATGGGAACTATGTATTCCAGGTTAATAATTATTTAAGTTAAATTTGAAAAAAGTTTTTAAATCTTTATTTTATATGATCGGCAGAGTAATTGATATGCCTACAGTTTTTCATTAATCGAATCATTAAAAATATTTCAATTGAAAGCTAAAGGTATTACATTTTCAAATTGTTTGTTAAAACTTATTATAATTTTATTTGTAAAAAAAAAAATCAATATACAATTTAAAAAGTTGAAGTAACCTATATTTTTCAAGAAGAAGTAATTTTAAGGTAATATACTGCTTTAATATATATATATATACAAAAATATTATTTTGTTATTCTGTGTTACATTTCATTTTCTTCCTGATAATAGTCATCTATATATCTAAGATTAATTATATTTATTTTTATGTTTTTTTTTTATTTGACATTATAATCTTAAAGATTATCATTGATTTTTTTCCATTTTTTGATGAAACATTCTACCAATTGGAAAACATAAAAAAGATATATATATATTTCAATCTTTGGACTCCCTTACTGCTGCCAATATATTTTTGATAAATTTCCTGTGGCTTTAATTATGGTTACATCATAAGTCAAGAATAGATCAATAATATTTTTAAAAATAAAATCCAATGAAAGCTTGGCATTTAAACAATAAAAGATATACACCGGTAACAATTATTTTATTTTTTGTAAAATCACTCGGTACACAAATATATCATAGATACATATATATCATAGATAGGTGTTTAATGAATTTTTTCCAAACAATATAGTATGAACAATTACTACATCCTTAAGCACAATGTCATTTGTATTTACACTAATATTTTTAAAAACTCCAATTTATTCTTTATTGTAAAAAACTTATCATAAAATATTGTAAAAATTATTTGATTGATAAAATTAATTTAATTACTAGTATAAATAATAAACACTTTGTGAATTCGTTTTTTGTTATAAATATTTTTATTATTTTGTAGTTATTTATTTATTTCTAAATATTTTTTTTTTTTCCCTACCCCCCAGGAATTTCTTGAATAAATTCAGTGTGTATATAAATGTATATATACATAAATTTTCAACTTTCCTTTTATTTCTAAATAATAAGTGATTGAGCCTATAATTCTGATTATTAAAATTGACATCGTTGGGAATGTGTAACAGTACAAAGATTATATGCAATTCTAATGGCATCTAGGACCTGGTGATATTAGAAGAACATTAGTGACTGGCCAAGGGTTAATGTTTCCTTACTCAATACTGCTTGTTTTGAAGTTATGTGTTTGGGTCAAAAATTATAGTTTTGTTAATTTTTTAATATTTATTTGTAATATATTACAAATCCATGATTCCTCATTTATCTTTTAAAAAATAATTTCATAATTACCATAATATGGCTATAATGATTCAATATTTAATTGATTAAATAAGAAGTAAATGATTTAATTAAAAATTAAAAAAAGTGTGTATTTTTGCCAACTTTTATTGCTAAGTTTTGAATTTATCATGCCTCAAGATTTTCCAAAAACCTTTAAAAATAACATTCAGCTTTAAAAATGTTATTAATTTTTTTTCTATCTTTGTTCGTAGGAAATAAAATAAACCTTAGATCAATCAAAAGTTTGACATTGGAATTTAAAAAAGTTTTAAATTAAAAACTTACAGGATTATTATTATGATAAATGTTAAAACAGTAGTAGGAAAAATAATTTTAGATCTCTCTAAAAATACTTCCTCGATTTGTTCCAAATTATTATTGAATAGTTGATGATTGAGAGATAATTGATTATGGAGGAAGTCAGTTTTGCTTTATATCCTCAAAGTATATATTTTGAAAATGTACTTTAATAATGTATATACTGAATAAAAATGTAAAATAGTATAATAATCCTCCAATATAATCATAAAATAGCCTCCTTATTCTCTTCACTTTAAATTTCTTCAAAATTAGTTTAAAATGATTTGTTGCTGAATTTTTTATTTGTAAAAGACATGTTTACTATTGAACAAAAAGAAAGTTAAAAAGTTGAAGAGGATGGAATAGCTATATACTTCTTTGTAGGTTTATTTAAAGTTATAAAATATTATTCTTTAATATAATATTCTATCGTTTATTTAATAGATATTCTAAGACAAAAATATGGCCAATGAGGTAAATGGAAAAGGTTTATTTTAATTGGCTTAATTTTATTTTTTATTATATATTGAAGTTTATAGGATATAGTTGCATTCTCCAGGACCGGAAAGGTAGAAATGGTCTTGGATCCAACTGTTCGCTATGAGAGCAATGACCTCGATCAAGCCAATGAAGTAGAAAGAGAAAAGAAGGAAATCTACGAGAAATGCATCTCTTTCTTAAAAGAGATATTCCGAGTGATCTTTGGAAAGAGAGAGTTTACAGTCAGAGGCTTCTGGTTTTGGTCTCGCGGAATGATTCCTAAAAGAACAGGGAGCTTCTTCGAGGAACTAGGTGTTGATGTCGGGGAGCTTGCAGTGTTGGCCGAGGTTATTATTGTGGACTCCCTTGGGAATATTCATCATCACATATATGGCAAATAGGGGTGGATTATCGCTATTTATTTATTTATTCGATTTTTAATGATTTAAGTGACCATATCTTTTTGTCTATGTTCATAGGACTATGTTACTTGCTGTGTGTGCGTTCTAATTTTCTGGTTTTAAAGCTTTAACATTCGAATACCATATTTTTTTTTTCCCCTATAAATTTCAGAAATTGTCTTGTATTGGTTTTACCAAAATATGTATATATTGTATAGTTGTAATTGTGAGTATTAGTATATTATAGTATTGATATTGTTTATGCTGTGTAATATGAAAAAGGATTTGTATATATATAAACATATGATTAAGTATAATTAAGCGCTACGTCCAAAAAAAAAAGGATTGATGAGTGTGCTATGTATCGAGCAACCCTATATAGTAGGGTAGTACTGCTTTAAATAAAGTATTTCTCTCTCAATAAGGTTAATGGGATGTCATTTGCCACTGACCATAATGTAAAATATATCCTATATTTTATAACATGAATTAGAAATTTGACGATGGAGCATATTATTATTATTTTTAAGGTAATTACAAATTTATTGTAGCAACAAAATTCTGACATGTAATGTAAAATGCACTATATTTTGACTCAAAACATTTTTTTAGCCTTGCATCCACAAGATTATTGGGAATGTAGTTCTAAAGATGGGCGTAAATATCCCGAAATGTCAACTTGTTATCATGTAACGTTGATAATATAAGAAATATATTCAATTGTTACCAATTGGAAGTAATTATTGCCAGATAACTAATCCTATTTTTTATTTAATTTTCTTCTTTGAAGAATAAAAAGTAATTAAAAAAAAAATGCAAGATTGGCTACATTGGGATACTAAGCACTTCATTACATTTTTTTGGTATGAGAGTAAGGAGTGCCATTTTTATGAAATCATTGTGTTTGTGTTCACACACACAATTTTTTTGTGTTTACAAATCATTGTGTTTCTTTGTACACTTCATTGTGTTTTTATATATCTTCATATAAAAGACAGATGTGAAAGCTGTGCCAGGAGGTGCTGCTCCTATGAACGAAAATTTGTACTACCGTCCTTGGTGGTGGAACTCCTCCCCTCTCATCCCTGGTTGTGCTGAAACCGGCCGTCACTTCGACTGACAGCGTTCCCCAACTGTCCATCTCTGAATCACAACAATGATTTAGGATAAATTTAGGATCAATCAGAAGATAATGTTGGATTTTTCTTATGGAACACTTACGATCAGAAACCTTTAAATGCAATAACAAGTCCTTCTTTGCGTATGCATGAAACCATTTCAAGTCCATCATTAAAAGTCATTTTATTTCTTATTTCATCCATATATTTAACGAAGGAACATTAAAAATCCTGCTCGGATATAATGCTAATGCCCTAAGTAACTGGAATATACAGATGGATTTGTGTATTTATGGATGGAGGTTTTAAATGGAAGATAAGGAGAAAATGAACAAATCTTTTGAAGACAATCGATGACGAACTTAAAAAACAACAATTAAAATCTCGACTTGTTTCAAATTTACAAAAAAGTGGGTCGAAAGAAAATGTCATCTTGCTTCTTTAGTATATGTACCTTATTTTATTATAATTTCCTATAGTGGTGTGATAGTTAATCATTTCTTAAACAGACGTTTAAACAGCATTTAATCAAAGACGACGGAGAAAAGAATTTAACTACTTTGATTGTTTCTGAGTAAGACCACTCGAGATGTTCAGGTTTAATACAATAATACAATATGAAGAAAATTATTTACTAGGAACTCATAAGAAGAATTAAAAAGTAAATCCAACCTAGTATTGCTAGCGACTAAATAAAAAAAAAAAAAAAAAAAAAATTCAATGGTTCTAAGCTTCTATGTCCTAGATGGAGGCTACTGTTTTATTTTTCGCATGTGAGAAACCAATCAGTAAATTGAGGTTTGCAAAAACCTTCTCCCCACTATCTTTAATCATCCCTTTCTTAATTTGAATCAACAGAATTTATTAAAAAGAGAAAATGGATGATTCTCGCATACATATCCATTGCATACGCATATTTGAACGGTTGCCATATAAATTTTGAGGAGATTAAAACTAATCAGTTCAGATGTAATTACGTGTAAATATATCTATTTGTTTTAACAGATAGATTATCTTACAATAGTTTCCATTTTCTAAATAATTAAATGGGAACGGAATCTTTTGGAAGGGTGTAAGAACTTAATTTTAGACACAGGAGGGTACGGGGTCTTATTTTTAGTTCAAGGGACTGTCAATCACTAAAGTCTCCGAACGTCTGTACTAAATGCAGCTAAATTTTCCCAACGCTAGAGAGAAAAATGGTTATAAGAAAATTGAATGTATATTCCTGAACGATACCAAGTCTCGACTACTTCTAAGTCTCGAATAGTCTCGTATAATAATAAGTATATTAAAAAAAAACTTAGACCAGATTTATCAAAAATATAATAGCTTATCGCTGCTCCATCACACCACCATTTCTTCAGGCAAGCAAGGTTTTGAGAGGTCGGGATCATAACATTTTACGAGAGAAAAATAATTAGCAAATAATAAATTTACACACATTAATTAAGCTTTTTAGTTGACAGAATGACTAACTCCAATTTTAACATTTTTTTTTTATTAAATTAGTATCAATAATGTTTATGTTTCATCTTTGGAAAAATCTTTACTTTTTTGTCAAAATTATGGCAGAAATATTTACCATCACTTATCAATTACTAATACTTCTGAAAATGTAAGGTATTTCTAACGTAAAATACTACGAACATTTTACTGGAAAATGTTCAAATATGAGTTAATCAATCTGTTAACTGAAAGGCTCAATTATTTCTCGATTCATGGAATAGTTCAACATAAGACCAACACTATTTTCTGATAAACTAAATATTGTTGCCTGATTTGAATTGTCTATATCTAGATATATTTTCATAATAATGCCCATTGAACCAACATTATAAATCATTTTGAAAAAAGTAAAGGAATTGTCAAATCTCTTTAATTTATAAGTAAGCATTTGAAATTTGAAGGAATGGTGGATTTTATCACTTACTTTTGTTATTGTTTCATGATTCAATTTATCGTAATATTTTATATAATTATATTATATTTAAAATTATTAACCATTTTCTTTATCTCTCCCTCAGTTTCCAACTTGACCCTTTATCTGAAGTAATTACGAATTTATAAACATTCATATCAACTTTACATGTATTTATCATTTCTAACTATTATTACAATAATATATTTTTATAGCATTGATATCAACTAGTTGGCCCGTGCGAATAATTCGTATAGAATATTTTTCAGTGAACAATTGGCAGTATAATATAAAAATAAGTTAATGATATGTATAATGAGATAGAAGAAATATTTCCTTTTTCTCACCTGAATCACATCAGTTCATTCATAATAAACCAAAACATGTGTACATTACTATAGGCAGTATCTTTGTTATTAATGGTCCGATTTACGGTTCTTTGAGGTGCGAAATACAAATCCCAACTCTGTTTCTCCTTAAAAAATGTTTTAACCCACTTCACTCCTTCGGTCAGTACAAAATGGTTCCAACTCACAAAGTTCTAATCGATTCCATGATTTTTTTTTTTTTTTAAGTGAAAACTTCATTAGGCACGTTTTGTACTTTTTTGTGGAGAGTGAATTAGATTGAGCCGACAGATGTCCGATGTGTAACGCTTGGGTAAAGTTAGCTGGAGTCGAATAATAGAAGTTTATTCATTGATTTATTCATTAATTCAAATATCTCAAAAACTAAAAATCGGACATGCATATTGTTAGCGAGGGAAATGTTCATCATTTCACTCTCTATTATTTATCATACACATTTCATATTATTAATCTCGCGTTGATGATGTTTTCACATCTATTGTGTGGTCCAAAGCACACACCTTAGTTATTTTTTTTTTGTTTCCAGAAAAGTTAATAATCTTTCAAATAAACATGGGTACAATCAACAAAAAAATGTATACTTTTTAAGTTATCCGCAAATAAATAATTCTTTTCACTCATATTTGTTATCTCACATTTTGAGGGTTCGTTAATGCTCCATGTAATGTCTCATTCATCAAAATCCATCGCTCCTCAGGGCCGGAATAGGGATCTACCTTGCGAAAAACTATAAATAATTTTATTATTATTTTAAGTTAAATTCTATAAAAAAATATAAAATTGTTATTTAATACGCCAATGACCGTATTTTCTAATTAGTTATGATCTTAACTTATTATAAAAGTTAGAAATGATAAATGTATTTAAAGTTGATATGAATGGTTATATAATTACTTTATAAACATAGGGTTATGAAGATATACAAAATGTCCGATAAGTTGATCTTCAAGTGAGTAAGATACAAAAAGGTTTGATGATTGAACTTAGAAATAAAATAAATATTAAATTCAATACATGCCCTTAAAAAAAAGATTGGTCGGGATGGTTAGGGTAAAAAAAAAAAAATGTAAAAATAAATAGATTATATTGATTTTGATTTTTTGTCGACGTTTCGGATCAAAGTTCAGGCCTTCATCAAGGCTAAACAAAAAATATAATATATTCCATTACATTTCGTTGGTAATTCATTTTTGGTTTATTATATAATGTTCAATAATGAAACATTGTGATCGACCAAAAAATTCAAAAACTTAACCCCCTCTCAAAATTTGAGGTTTCACGTTTCAGGACGCATATGGTTTTTTGAAAGTTTACGAAATTTTCTAAAAAAAAAAAAAAAAAAATCGTTAAAATCGGACAATTAGGAGCAAAGATATGGTCTCCGGTTTTTTTAATATGTTCTACTCCAAATGTTATAACCTTGGTTTGATTTTTAAATTTTGAATGTGTTACTGAAGTAATGCTATTTTTTTTTTTAGCATATTACTAATGATTAAAAAAGAAGTTTAGTCCAATAATTGGAATCACCTTTTGTTTATTTTTCTTTGTAACTTGGAAGGTAATGTTACTTTAGATGTATAATTGTTTGGAAATAATAAACCATTGTGAAATAATTTGCAGCGTTTTTATTTCTTATGTTACATTATTTTTATTATGTTTATTTCATTAGTCCCTAAGTTTGTTGGCGTTGTTATTTATTTCATAGTTCTCTGTAACTGTTAGAATTTTATTCATGAGTTCCTAACTGTGATACCGTTATTAACTTAGCTTCTGCTACTTCCTATTCCTAACTTTGTTGTCGTTATTTTATATTTCCTTTAAGTTTATTCTACCTACTTCATTTTCCTTTAAGTTTATTCTACCTACTTCATTTTCCTTTAAGTTTATTCTACCTACTTCATTTTCCTTTAAGTTTATTCTACCTACATGTTTTTAGACCATAGCTTTCACCTACATATTATTATTTTCTTTTTAATGGTAATAGTTTCATTTAATCATACCCATTGTTATCTGTTTTTTCTTAGCTCTGACGAAGGCCTGAACTTTGGGCCGAAAGTGCAAAAAATAAAAATAAATATGATTTATTCATATTTGATATATATATATATTTTTTTTTACTGATCACTCCAACCAATCTCCTCATCAATAATTCATTACAGCCAATCATCAATCCACAATTAAAAAAAAATCATGATTCAAATTTCTTTAATCCACTTTAAAAAAAATCAACCTTAAGTGAATACACCACTCCTCGTAGTTTAGGCTTCTTATACAGAATGTTTCAAGGTTAAGTGGCCAAACTGCAAAAATGAGCTGAAGGCTTCAAAATAAGAAAAACATTTCCTGTGAAGGTATATCTGCAAACGCTTTGTTTAGGAGATATTCACACCTAATGAATTTTTTACATTATATGAAATAAATAAAACCTATTTGTTCCAACTATTTTATTAATTAAATGTAAACATTGACATTCATATTAAATTTTGTTCAAAGTTATTTGCATGAGCATTAAGACAGGCTCAGCATCTTTCTTCAACAGCAACAGTGCCAGAACAGCACTGGATATGTGTTATTATTTCATAAGATTCAATTATCCTTCTTCGTAAGAAGAAATTATGGTCATTGGCCGGACTTTCATTGACTTTTTGCTTAAAGTCATCCCAAACAAAACAATCCAATGATGTCAGAGCGTGCAGGCCACGCCACTGGTCATGCACGGCCAATCCATTGATTTTG